CGGGCTGCCTCGAAGGGTAAAAACATTCATGCAGTATAAAATTTGCGACCTGAACGGTTGATGATATAAATCCTGCATTACCCTAAGGACCCTAAACTATGGGATTTATGGTATATTCCTTACTATGGGTAATGCAGGGTTTACATCATCAACCGAAGTACGTACCTCTTTACTGACTGCTTTAAGGCCGAAGCATGGGTACATGGGAGCTAAAACTAACCCTTCCAGACCCCCTAGGGCACAAGCAGATCAACAACAGTATTTTGGGGGTTCCTGATTATAGTTATAGTATAATGGGCCCCGGGGAACCCTTAGAACAGGGTTCTGGGGCCCAATTTTTTATAACTATAATAAGGAACCACCGAAATACTATTGGTGATTCTTTTGAGCCCCCATAGTAGCTCGACGAGCCACCATGCCCGCGGCATCGGTGATGAGCTTGGCGCCGCCCGGGTGGACCTCGAAATTCTGGAATCCTTTGGGGCGCCCAAAGTAGTTCCTTTTTGGGGTTCATATATAGAGTCCCATAAGGCAATCCCAAAAAGGAACTACTATGGGGCCTCTGGGTAGGGTTTAGGGTTTGGGGTATAGAGTTTAGGGTATGGGGTTTACGGTTGAGGGTACAGCGCTATATGGTCTAGGGAGTCCCTACCCTAGGGCTGAAAATAGCCCAAAAGCCCGCCCTAAAGTGTAGGGTCTTTGAGCCCACAAGAACTGAAATGTGAGTCCTTGGAGCCTTATTACAAGGACCCCAAACTAATGTACCCCTAATTCTTGGAAACTCCCACCTGTCACGATTTCGGGTGGAGCTTTCTGGCTTGCCTCTAGCTCTGGGGCTCTGATGGCCGAAGGCCTACGCGCTGGATAAAGGTTTCATAACCCTGACCTGTATCCCCAAACCCTACAAAAAAGCAGGCTATGACCCTTTAATTAAAGGGTAAAACCCCTAAAACGGTAGGTTTCCGGATCCCAAGGGAGGGTCCAAGTACCCAACTAGTAGGGGTTAGGGTTTAGTCAAAGTCCCAAAACCATTCAGAGTACGGATAAAGGCCTCATAACTTTACGGCCAGCTTCCGCTCGGTCCAGGGGACTGAACAAAGTCACAAGTAGAGGGCTCAGGGTTTAGGGTTTAGGGTTGAGGGAAAGATGCTCAACTCTACCTGCAACCTGGTTACGAAGATTCTGAACCTCAAAATGTACCCTGAATTCCAAATCCCGAAACCCTAAACCCCAAACCCGAAGCCCAACTCAAGGCAAAGCCGGGCTATGGTTGGCGCCCAAACAACCACAAGTAAGGATCTCTCTGATGTGTTTGTGTTTGAGGGTTTTTTTGAGGGCCCCTTTTTCAACTGCAGTGTTTGAAAGTTTGGTTTGGGGCCTAGGGTATGTGTTTGTTGTTTGCGTCGGTCCCCTTGTGATCCAACCCACCTTGGCGAACTTCGTGAGGTCGTAGGCCTTTCCAGGGCGACACAAAGCTGCTTCTTGAAGGCCAGAGCAAGCAACTCTGGTATATTATCACAGTAGTAGAGAGCTTAAGGCTTAAGACACATCCCGTTTGGTTAAGAGCTACTTCCTGGGCCACCTGGGGAAGTCTGCGGAATGGTGTCTTTGGGGCTAGGCCACGAGGGATGGATTCGAGGCAGTGGCAGCAGCTGCGGCATCTCCTCAACAGTAGCAGAAGTACAGTAGTACTATGGTTGATAAACCGTAGTATACCTAGAGGCTCCAAAGTAATTCCTTCTTGGGGTTCATATATAGAATCCTATAAAGCAATCCCAAAAAAGGAACTACTATGGAGCCTACGGGTAGTGATAGTGGTAGCGGCGGCAGTGCCTAGTGATGCCAGGCTTTTCAGGATGCTCTGTTCGCTCGTATTTAAGGTTTTGGGCTTGTGCAGCGCCGGCACAAGATGCTTATGCCCAAAGGGTCCTATGTACTGTTATGGGGAATACTTCCCTAATTCATAATCGTAATTCCTAATATGGAAACCCTACATTCTACTATATCGGTACATAGGACGCTTTGGGATGTAGAACAACCAGACATTCCCTTGACTGCTGCCTTGCCGTAAAGCACGACCCAGCAGTCCTCCTGGCGGTAGTCAGGCGCGAGATGGGCTAAGGTAGGGGCCTTAACAATGAGAATTGGGTTTCGCGCTCCTTTTTACGAATTATACATAACTATAAACATATCAAGGAGCCCCCAAAATAGTATAGGTATTCTTTTAGGCCCCTATATTATAACAACGCGAACACCTGTAAAGTGTGGACCTCAACTCTGACGAAAGATTCTACAGATTTCTTTAGTAATACCACATCAGATGCGATATGCAGGGACGCGCCACGGATCCTACCCTCGAAGGAATACCCAGTACTAGTGTGTATCAGAGTCAGAAAAACGGGAAGTGTTAGGTTTATGCTGTATCCGTTGTGCCGATGGCACATTATTCCGTTTGGGCATCTGCGTGGGAGAAGTGCGGGCCACACCATTAAGACAACCCGCGGAGAGGAACTCTCGAAGCATGCTTCCCTTGCATGGCTGACAAAAACTAGGGTTTTGGGGCGTCTTGTAGTAAATGACGGGATAATAATAAACACATTTCTCTACCTGTTTATGCGCTCTGCAGTCTTCGGAGGGAAAGCTCTGCCTAAAACACACAGCTCCAAAGGACGAGCGTCTGAAGGTCCCACCCATATATATATATATATATACATACATATACATATATATATATATCATAAATATACGGCTACAGAATCTCGGACATAGACCCTTTCAAGCAACAAATCTCACAAACCCTATTCTAGTTGCGAAGGTCTCTGCATTAGACCCTAGACCCGAAACAACAAGCTTAGGGTTTAGGGTTGTAGGGATGTTACAGGGTTATAGGGTTTAGGGTTATAGGGTTATAGGGTTTTCAGTCTTGCGTCCTTGGTGTTGTGCTTGGCGACCTCCTCCATGCTCAGCACCTTCTTGTTGGGGAGCTGGGTTTGGGGGGTTAGGGCTTACGGTGTAGCATTTGGGGGGGGTTGTGGGGTAAAGGGTTGAGGGGTTTCTGTAGGGGTTCAGTGTTGCTCGCGGGAGCTCAAGGGCGTTAGGCCTGCATTCCTTCAGGGTCCATGTACCCGAATAGTATATGCTTTGGCCACAAAGTACTTGTATAGGGACAACATTAATGCCGAGGTATATTGGCACATGGACCTTGCGGGATTTTAAACCACTCGCACGTCCCAAACTCCAACCCCGTTGTCATGCCTAGGCCCGGCATCTCCTGAAACTGATTGAGGCTCCTTCCTACGGCCAGAAACTGCTACAAAGGGACCCAAAGTACGGGGCTTGAGGCTTCAGGGATTTGAGAGTCTAGAGTTTTATCAGTTTAGGAAGTTTAGGGGTTTAGTGTTTCGGGTTTAAAGCGTTCACGGATTGATGGATAATATGCCGTCGTTGATGGAATATACCTTACTTAAATTTGAGAAGTATCCCCAATATGGTTTGAGGCTTAAGGGGTATAGTTCTTTAAATTAAGGGATACTGGAAGGTCTGGGGTGTCACTGCCCGTCTTACAGGGAAGAGTTTACTCAAAGGCTATGCTCAGACCTCAGAAAAGGAAACCATTGTGGCGAGTTAGCTCCGTTCAAGCATGTTTGACAGCTGAACCAGAAGAGCACCCCATCAAGGTTTGAGGTCAAATTCAACTGCGGCCCAAACAAACCTAATCTTCTTAGGGGTCAGTGTTGTGGATTCTTGGTTCTAAACAGGTAGGTCTTCGGGCTCCAGGCAAATTTTCGGGTACACCAACCACCCAAACGCGAAATTCGGAGAGCGCCGGCCTTGTCAGAAGCCATGGTGGTAGCGGAAATGCGGGGAGAATTTAGATCCACGAAATCACCACTTGATCGAAAAAGGGGCTGTGCAGCGCAGTGGTTGATGCCATATACAGATGCCATATACAAGGTTACCCAAAGGCCCCAAAGTAGTTCCTTTTCGGGGTTCATACATAGAATCCTATAAGGCAATCCCAAAAAGGAACTACTATGGGGCCTCTGGGTAGACTGCAAATATTTGGTCTATCTACCGACCTTTACCTGTACCTGCATACCTGTGCCTTTGCCGGTGCCTATACGTAGATATACAAATGCATATTAACGAACATGTTTATAAAACATGAATGGTGCATAGGCATGCGCAGAAAATGCAGGCTTCCACCTGCGCAGATGCATCTTATGTATATACATGCACATGCACGTACATGTGCGCATCTACCTTGACGTGTACATACAGAGATAGATACATGCCATGTGCAGAAGCAGCTCCAAGTACATCTACATGTGCTTGAATTTAAGAAAACTCGCACAACTACTCCTATATGTAGACACGTACGCACATACATGCATAGATACGTACATCTAGGCACACATACATATACATAAATACATACGTACGTACATGCATACATACATAAACTCATACGTCATACGTACATATACACACCTACATACATGCACAGCACAGTCATACAGAAACACACATAAGCATAGATAGTTAGATCCGATGCGCAGCTACATAGATACGCAGGTACACAGATACATACCGACATACATACATACGCACATACATGCATCTAAGAATTCAAACTTTAGGCTTTAGGGATCTGCGGGATGGCTTTCTGGCAAACGGCAAGGACTGAATGAGGCCTCTAACAGCCTACTTTGGTCCAAAAAGACTCGGAACGCCCGGAACCCTGCACGCCAAGCTATTCCCAGCATCTGCTCTAAGACACCCCCTGATCTCCCAAATACTTCGCTACATTTGGGCCCGGTTCCGGTCCTCAGCACATTTTCTTTGAGGCACCATGCCACGGCCATATCACACACTTCTGAGGTTAAGGCATCTAGATATGTGCAAGGCTTAAGCATTGCAGCTTATGTAGGTATTTTACGGGGATTCTCATCAAAGAAAGATAACCTGTCCGTGCTGAGCTCCCATGGTGAGTGCCATGCCTCGTCCTCCACTGCACCGGTGGAGATTGCCAGCTGCGACTTGCGGATGATCTTGACCGCACGCTTGACGCCTGCGGCAAGATCAGAGTTCTATAGAGACTAATTAGATATTTCCGAGACGTTGCCTGCAAAGTTTGGCCATCGATGCGACATGTCTTGCATGCTGCTCATGTGTGTGCATACATACATACATACATACATACATACATACAAGTGCACCTATGCGTCGTCTACGAATACTCGCAGCGACAGGCAAACAAAACATTTCAGGGTTTTGCAGTTTGATTTGTTGATGTAACAGTGATGTAGACGCACGGTTCGGTTTTTTAAGAATATGTCCTGAAGCCCTCCCCCCCCCGCCTAAAACCGTATATCTCGAACACCTGATCCAAAGCCCTGAAGCCTAAGCACACCACAACTCTGAAAATCTAAACCCTGCACCGTGAATACTATGCCGCTAAACTCCGCTAAACCTTGCACCCTAAATCCCAGAAGCCCCAGAGTAGTTCCTGTTGGGGGGTTCATATTTAGAATTTTATAAGGTAACCCCAAAACGGAACTACTTTGGGGCCTTAGGGTAAACCCCAGGAGCCTGCACCCTAAAACCTGAACCCTTAAACCCTGCACCCAGTACCTAAACTCAGCGCCTGAAGAAAGCTGCATCCTAAAAGCTAAACCCCCAAATCAAAAAACCCTGCACCCTAAAGCCTTAAACCCCCCAAACCTAAACCCTAGACCCCGAGCCGCAAGACGGGCTAAAGGATGCCTCATCTTCAGCCAAGAAAATCAACCGTACAGATGAGGCAGAGTCTGGGGATCAAAAGGTTTACCATTATGATTATGATTACTCGTATCATATAGTTCTTCTCCCTGGATCCACTCATCCCTAGACCCTCCATCTACCCTCTATTAGACCCTAAATGCCCCTTATTTGGGACCATATACCCCTATTTGAGGGTACAAGGAGGGTCCTGGTCTGCATGGCCCGGAGCTTCGGGGCCTCTGGCTTCGAGAACCCCCCCAAGAACTGGTTTTGTCCGGCTTCTCCGGCCAAGCTCGGCGTCCCTCCTACCCGTAACCCTTAACCCTAGACCCCTAAACTTCTTTGCAATCATGAACGCGTGATGAGGACCACAAGTGGTAGTCGGTTTAGGGTTTAGGGTTTAGGGTAGTCCCTCCTACCCGTAACCCTGCACATGCTGAACCACGTGACCTTGGATGCCCTGCTTTCCAGGCCGACAAGACCCCTGGAGACCGGAACCCTCATCCTCTCACTCAACCGGATACCCAGAGGCTCCATAGTAGTTCCTTTTGGGGATTACCTTATCGGATTCTATATATGAACCCCAAAAAGGAACTACTTTGGAGCCTTAGGGTAGCTGCAGGGTCTGACTCTGAGAATGACAAGTTGTTGGCTTCACGGTTACATGTTGACTCCTGATGAATGAATCCCCCTATACTTATACACTGAATTGATCAATCTTCTACTGGGGATCTCAATCTTGAGGCCCTTGAAGCAAGGAGTGTGTTAATCAGTCAGGGGCCTACCTGAAGCCCTACAGCACACACCCCAAACCCGAAATCCTCAAACCCTAAAAACCCCGTAGACCCTAAACCCTGAAACCCTAAACCCCTAAACCCTGAAACCCTACGCCCAAAACCCTAGCGGCCTAGCGATCGGTGGAACATGGCGAAGACCTCGCCATAAGCGCCCTCGCCGAGCTTGGGTCCCTGGAAATAGTACCTGAGGGTTAGGGCCGGTGAGGGTTAAAGGTTAGGGTTTAGGGTTTTTTGTTTTTTTGGGGACCCCTTTTTCCTAGGTGTTGCTTGCGGCGGCTGCTAGAAAGGCCTGAAGGCCAGGAGGCTTTAGGGTTCAGTCTTTAGGGTTTTGGGTTTTGGCTTCATGAATGAAGCGCTTTGTTGGCGGAATTCTTTGAAGGGTCCAAAGGACCCTTTGGATAGTTGTTCTGAAGGTTAGCATGATGGAAAGCATAATTATCCGAGTGGCTGAGTACCCTAGCCCGAAAAAGGTTGCCCTGTTCAATTATGGTAGGATTAAAGTAACCCCAAAAGGTTTACATGTTACCTACTCAGCCACTACATTATTAGGAAGTTAGACCCTTGCGGTTTGGAAGGGCTCTACCGTATTTGGGGTTCCTCAATGGCTTTCCTGTGATTTCAGAACTTGGGTTGGGGCTTTAAGGGCGTCTTCTTGAAGGGTTGTCTATGAGGGTTCTACAATATGGGACGGATTGCTTTGAATTTCGGATCCAGAGGTTTAGGATTTAAGTAGATAGGGCTTCCGTTAGGGTTTCCGGGTGCAAGGTTTGGGAGTTTGGTTTTGAGCTCAGGATGCGAGGCTTCGAGAAAGGAGACGAGGTTTAGGTCTGTTTGAGCCGGTCGTGCTGCTTCAGGGTCTGGGACCACCACAATCATAGCCTCAGCATTAACAGGATCTGTTCAAGATGTGTACATCTGTTGCTACGGGTGTTGGGATTTGTCATCAAGTACACAACGGCAGAGTGATAGCCAGAGCCGTTCCCAGCCCGTCCAGTGCCACAACCATCCGAAACCGACACTGATGCCTCTTGAAGCCATGACACTTACCTTTGGTTAGTAGGGAATGGAAGAATGGTAGTCATAATTGCACCCCATTCCTGCATTCCCTACTAACCAAAGGTAAGATGAAGGTCTGCTGTCATTAACTACGAAGTTTCGCATCTTATGGCTTAGGGCTTGTATTTTATGGTTTCGGGTGTGCGGGAGATCCGGGCGACTGAGCTTGAGGCTAGCAGCATGGGCTCTCCGTTAACTACTCTCCCGAGAATCATCCAACTTTGCTTGTTCTACTGTACCATAATATACCGTGAAATACTATAATACATTACTTTACAGTACTTTAGTAGACTATACTATCCTAGACTCCCCGCGCGGCACTTGTCATGCTGCTGAGCAATCGACGGGCCAGCTCCGTCACTTCTGGGTCCGCGGACGGCATGTGTGCGAGGATCTGGTGGTGGAGCATGAGCTCTGGAATGAAGAGGGTATGCACGTGCGGCGTGCCGCGGCCCTTGCCGTACTCCTGTTGTAGGCCGTGCGTCTTGAAACTCAAAGCGACCAAAGTAGCAATGCACTCCGGAAAGTCGTGCATCGGCCTTGGACCTGAAAAGATTGCTGCGCCACCTGTGGCTATTTGCGCCTGTGCAACCTGCCAGCAGCCCTTCGCAAGCTTGTTGCAGAGGGCATGGGCTATGGCCAGTGTCTCAGGCCCGGGAAGGTCCGTGGGTCCTTTCTGGAGCAGCTTATGCGCACGCTCGACCCAATAATTCCCAAGGGCTGATGGTGCCAAACAGATCTGGCTCGCCGAACACCTCCACCACATCCACTAGGAGCCGATGATGCCTCCTCCAATGCCCCGGACTCCAGTGCCTGGCCTTAAAGGCACGGTCACTTGGAAAAGTCTCCGCCTAGCGGCCACATCCCGATCGATAGATGTATCTGTCAAATTGAAATTGGAGCAGGGCGTAGCTAGCTGCATAGTCCAAGATCGGGCAGACTAGCTTGGAGACGTATGCTGCTTTCATGCTAGCATACTGCTGGCCGGCTGCTTGCCCTTCCTTGCTGAAGGGTCTGCGCCACTGACCCGGCGCTTTGAGGCTGCCCTCGCACCATTCTGGGCGAGGATATAGCCACGGGAACACGGCCACCTCTATAAAATGCTCGAGGATGGCACTAGGGGGCAAAGTGGCTGGCTTGTTTGGTGTTCCCAGCTGGTCATCTAAGGCACTTTTCCAGCCGGCATAGCCGGGGTTGTGCTCTAAGAGCCAGCGCAACGCTCGGTTTGCACTCATTTGTTCTGGTGGCGAAAGCATGGAGATGCGTGCTTCTACCGAGGTTTTCGGCCAGGACACTCTGGACAACTTGTCCTTTCGGATGTGCCCATTACGGTGCTTCCGAGGTTCACCCTGATGTAAAATTAAAAGCGTCAGGGCTTGACCTGCACCCGCCGATAGGTGACGCAGCTCTACAGGAAATTCCTCCGGACTGGGCACTGCATGTCGCAAGCCTCGGGCTTGGCTGCAGTTCCAACAGGTGCCCTCGAAGATCTTGCCCGGGTCGCCTGTGCTGCGAGGGAGCAGTGTGTACCACTCAGCAAGGAGACTGTCTCTAGTCACCCTTCAACCCTAGACCTTAAACCCCACACCGCACTTTTTGCTGGCTTCCAAACCTACCTGTCGGAATTTGTGTCGCGCAAAACCTCAAACCTAAAACTCTACACGCTTCATCTGCCTTAGTTGATGTCTTCACTTTCGCGTCCCAGCCTGGCGCGCGTAGATCCTTGCATGTCAGTTTCCGCTGCATGAGCCGGCCGCACTCCTTGCAGAAGGGTTTCTGGCAGTCTAAAAAAAACATGGACGGCAATTAGGGCCCAACCCAACCCGCCCTTGCTTTGCGTCCAGTACCTGAACTTATCTTCGAGGATTTCGCCCTGGTCCTGGCAGCGAGTCCAGGCGCCGGAGCCATTGGAGCATTGCCACGTCCCGGTCCAGCCACAGGCCAGTGTCCAAGTCAGGCTTGGCCCACGCCGCTTGGAGTTGCGCGTGCCGCGTGGCGGCATGAGACGGGCTTGTTCGGGCGCTCATCGCGGCGCAGACCGAAACAGGAGTTGGTCGCGCCAGGCGCGCCGCCAGCAACCAGCGTCCCAAGGCGCGAAGGTAAGCGGCATGGCCGTGCCGCATGCAAGCAGAGTTTGTGCTATGAGGGAGCGCTCCCTCACGCAAGGCGTTCTTGAACCAACGACCCTCGGGAAGGTCAAGACAAGCGCCGTCGTTAGCAACGAGACACAACAGGCTTCCGTACTTGCTTCTGATGCTGGCACTGCCAATGCACGTGCACTGCCCTGTGAACACCGGGTCCTTCGAAATCCTCGAGCTTCCGGCGAAGCTTCTCTGCATTCAGGTTAGCTTCTACTTATGTCGCGGAAGCACGTTCTAACGACTTCCGAGGGGCTGCTCCCGGATTGTATGCCACGCGACGGCGCTCTGTGCGACCGACGTCTCCGCATCCTCCTGCATCCAGGGTGCCTCAGATTGTCGTGTCTTCCGGACATCGGCTTTAATTTTTACATGTGCCAGGATCCCTCGGGAATAAAAGCAGTGTATCAACCGCGGCTTTTGCCTGTTGCTGCTCCGCGCAACGATGCTGGTGGACGATCTGCAACCAGTGCAGCTTCCGGGCCTTAGCACTGCTGCTCCGCTTTCTACCCTGACCTCTTGCTTGCATACCTACATTTTGGTGCTGGCCGGTGCCTCCCTAAAAAAAATGCGACTTGGGGCCCCAAGGATTCACTTGGCTAGCTTCTTGAGGGCCTTGCGGCGCTCCTTCAGCTGTTGGATCTCATCGTCCTGGAAGATTTCGGCCTTGTCCTTCTGAAACTCCAGGAGCACTTCGGCGACGTGCGCGTTGAACGCCTCGAACTTGCCGAGCAGCTTCGCGGCTTTCTTCTTCTGGCTTTCCGTAGGCATGATTGCTCCCAATAAGCCTTCCAGCTCCGCCCGCAAGGTCCTTTTCGCTTTCTTCCATGTCGCGGGTTTGCAAGGCGTGCATTTCTCTCTTTCCGAGAACAAAAGCTGGGCATCGGCGACGGGTGCGCTCACGGTATCTTTCTTGAGGCGCACGTTGTGTGCTCGATGGACCTCTGCACTGATGTAGGCCACAAGCAAATTGCCGGACTCAGGCTTTGTCAGCAACGCTTCCTTTTCCTCGCCGCACTCGCTCGGCACGTCCTTGATCTTGCCGGCATACACTCCAGGCTGACCTAGAGCGGCCATGGCATTGATCCATGAATTCGTGACCCAAGCGCTGGATCCCAGCCCCTGCAATGCCGCGTGGTTCGGCCACTCCTGTCTTTTTTGGTTGGCAAAGAGGAGCAGCTGCTTCACAGGGTTACACAAGCCGTGGCTTGTTCGCTCCAAGTCAGGAAAATCTTGCGCGTTCAGTAACTCGCAGGATCCCTTCAAATGGAACTCCTCAGACATGGACTTCCAGTGCGCCACGAAGTCCTAGTGGAACACCTTAGCCCCCGGAAAGGGCGATTAAGACTAGAAACTTCACCATACGGTACTAGACTGGACTACACTATAATTTGTCTTACTGTACTGTACTCGACTATACTGTACGATACTATGCTTACTATACTGTACTGTAATATACTGTACTATACCATACTGAACTAAACCTATCTTCTCCTATGCCATACATTACTCTACTAGCATACGATACGGTGCCTTGATTTTCTGGACTGTACTATACTATACTATTCGGGGATCATTGAGAGACACAGGAGCTGGCGATCGGTTACGGGGTTGATGGGCTAGAGCTTCCGAATTGTCGATGTCCACAGCGGCTCCCATGAGGGCGGTACTCTTCTTCCGGGCTCAAGTCAGTGATCTGGTGCCTGCGAGAACGGAGCATGACTTGCCTTATGGTTCCTTTTAACAAGGGTACTACAGGGTTCTATACTGGGGTTCCTTAAAGGGATCTATAGGGGTTCTATAATGGGGATCATGGGACTTAGTAAGTAAGGTTATAAGTACCTTAATTGGGGTTATAAGTATAGTTATAAGTTTATAATTATAGTTACCGTAATAATAACCTTGGTTACGAAGTCCCATGATCCTTTAAGTGGGCATTCTGGGACTCTAACCCCCAAAACAGGACATCAACATGAAGCTGGTGTTCCAGGTCGTAAGTTCTCAATGCTTGCCTGCTCCCACCCAGCCCCAAACCGGCTCGAAGCCGGCATCCCCCGACCTAAGTCCGAGCTAGATATGCTGTCAAGAAGGGAAACTCCTAAAGACATCACACCCCAGGCTCGAAAAGGCTACGTTCTACGGTTCAGCAGATGGAATTACGGCCCTTATGCTTCCTTGTGACCTCGTTCCGTCATGGTCTTCCTACAGTATATACGCGCCCTCTTGGACAGGCTTTTGGCTGGGACCCATTCGGCTTAAGGTTCTAAGGCAGTTTCTTGCAGAGCCATATTTGAATGACCTGCGAGGCTTGTTTGAGTGTAGCCTTCTCCTTACGGCTCCCGAATTAAGCAATGGTCTATGTTGGCCATGAGTTTAAGACCCTCAGTGGTTCATGATTTAGGCACGCACAGGCGAGGAGAGGGAACTGGCTTCATTCCTCTCAAAGACTCATATTCAATAGTTCTACTATAACATACCACCCAAAAACTCGCTTTAATGATTCACGCCCCAATACTAGACTCTTATAAAATAATGACCGGTATCCTTCCAAAACCTAGCACCTTGAGCCCTATCAGGACACCGACCGCACTGGAATGGTGATGGGCGAGTAACTCGGAGATGGTCGTGTCGGGTGGCATCTCGGGATACTTTGATATTTGCATGGCCAGCATGTCACACTCCTCTTGGTGTGCACTCCTTCGGGCTGGTGGCACTGAGTAGTCCTAGCACATGACATGGTCGTCGAGGTTTCTTACCTAATTAGCCCAGTCTCTGGTGCTCAAGCAGTCCTGGTCTTGCTTGAGCGGGCCTGCATGTGATTTTGCTGGCGTGGTTGCCACCATTCTGCAGGAGCTTGCCCTCCAAAGTGGCTGCGCAAGAGCCTTACGATCAACGATCTCTACCCAAAGGCCCCAAAAGTAGTTCCTTCTTTGGGGTTACCTTACAAAAATCCTAAATATGAACCCCCAAGAGGAACTACTATGGGGCCTATGGGTGCTGTCTTGCAGCAGGCACATCGGACATCTGCGTAGCTCGTCATCTGCGAATGATCAGCGAGGAGGGACCTTGAGGTTTCGGGCATAATTAGGGGTTGAGGGTTTAGGATTATAGGTTTAGGGTTTAGGGTTTAGGGGTTAGGGGTTTAGGGTTTAGGGTTTAGGATTTAGGGGTTAGGTTTCGGGTTCCTCATTCCTTGAGTTGTCTTCACGAGTTGAGATGCTGAGCTGCAGTGGACTACCGCAGCGAAAGCTGCCAACCACTCATCTTATGCACCCGCCTCTGAGTCTGAGCGTGGTGTAGACGCAGATCACTTGAGCGGATACTTTGTGCATTAGAAAGCTTCCTTAGGCCCATTGAGCCAAGAGCTCAACGAATCGACATATGATCCCACAAAATGAGCTAGAATTACGATTACTCTCAAACCCAAGTGTATAAATACTGGACGCTTGGGCCCTGGTAGCCTTCTACCAGCCCTGAGCCATGAAACCCTCACCTAAAAAAATGCAAAACCCTCTACCTGGACCCCCAAAGTATGTAGAACAATGGCCTTTTATAGGCGTTGGGCCGTTATTTTACCTACTTTGGGGGGTTTAGTTTAGGTAAGCCTAAGCCTTAATAATTAGAATAGTGTTCCTTTCAAGGGATCCTTAATGGGATACTACAAGGGTACTATAATATAGGGGCCTTAATGATTGGGACAGGGCCCCTCATTGCCTCCGGACCATCGTCTGTCTCGACACGCGGTGCTGGCCCAGACGGGCCTGCAGGGCCTGCAGCCACCTCTGCAAGACCGAGGATTCTGGCTGTCGGGGCTTGGGGCTTGCTTACCCAAAGGGTCCTATGTACCGATATAGTAGAATGTAGGGTTTCCATATTAAGAATTACTATTATGACGGTTCGTCAGGTGTGGCTTACCCTAAGGCCCCAAAGTAGTTCCTTTTGGGGGGTTATCTTATAAATTTCTAAATATTAACCCCCAAAGGGAACTACTTTGGGGCCTTTGGGTACTTAAAGGTCAGTTGGTTCAACTGGTTCTGCATTTAGGTTCCTTTAAAGGAACTACTTAAAAGGGTCATGGGACTTAGTAACTAAGGATATAGTTAGGGTAACTACACTTATAGCTGCTTATCACCCCAGTAAAGGTACCTATAACCATACTTACTGAGTCCCACGATGCTCGAAGTGATCGGGCTCAGGGGTATAGGGTTTAGGTGTTTAGGGTTTATGGGGCTTCTCGGGCTTATAGGATTCAGGGTCGCGGGGGGATAGAGCTTGGGGCATAGATGTTGATATGGGAGCTTGAGAAGTGCATGATGCACTCGTAACGTACTTGGAGGGTTATGCTTAGGGCTGCAGCTGCTACCTCAGCTGCTGCGATAGGCGGTGAGCAATGCTCACCGCCTATACTTGGAGGGTTATGCCATAACTGGAGCAGGGCTTTGGGCATGCATTGCAGTAGAACCTACCCAAAGGCCCCAAAGTAGTTCCTTTTGGGGGTTCATATTCAGAATTTTATAAGGCAACCCCCAAAAGGAACTACTTTGGGGCCTTAGGGTAGTAGGCACCAACATCCGCGCCTCGTAAAGGCCTCCAGCCACTGGTCTGGCGTGACGAACTCAGGGGCCTCTGGGGTGGCGGGTTTCCAGAGGCCCCAACATCCCTTAATTACGGAACATTCCTTAAATCTGATTAGGGATCCTATAGTATAATTTAAAGTATATATATTCCTTAATGAAGGGATAGTGGAGTCTCTGGGTTTCAGGGTTAAGAGACTACGGGTTCAGGGCTTAGAGAAAAAGGGTTTGGATGTTTCGGGTTTACAGATTTGGGGTTCAGGGTTTAGGGCTTCAGGGATTGGAGATTACGGTTTCGGGTTTGGGTTTAGGGTTTATAGGGGGTTAGACGTTAAGGGGTTTGGGGTTGTAAAGGGGCCCTGCGGAGCTTATTTTCTGAATATGGTTTGTATAGAACGGCTCATACATGTG